TCATAATATATTAGTGTGTTCATTCTGTTTATGCTGAAGCATGCTGCATGTGATTATTGCTTCTTTTGCACTTTTGCTGAGATAATTAATGAATGATTTAATGAATAAATTTGATTCTAGTATAATATTATTATTACTATTGCTTCTGATGAATTAATTTCGCTTCCTAAAGCATCCACAACCTGATTTTATAGAATATAATAAGCAGCTGCTGCGGGAAACAACAACCCACTAGTGTTTCCACCCGGACGACTTTAGACGCAACACGCCGGTAGACCCTGTCAGCTGCTCGTCCACGCTGTAGCAGCAGCAGCACGTCCTGACAGCAGACTGGCCTCAATGAACCAGTGTTTGTGAAGGTTTGCGGCTTCGGGAGGAGCAGAGATGTGCGACGGACCTCCGAACTGGATCTTCCAGCACCCAGCGGTGAGTGTTCGGAGCAGCTGGTGCCGGTGGAGGCGGACTGAGTGTCAGGAAGTAACACAGCGTCTGTTCCTGTGTCAGTATCAGCAGATGAAGGGTCTGGAGGTCGGAGACAGCGAGCAGCTCCACGCAGCCTTCCTGGTGTTCATGGATCTGACGGAGGGTGAGTCTGGTACCAGCAGGAGCCTGTCTGGGGAGGTTCGGTTCGTGTGTCATGTAGAGTCACAGGATTTCCTCTCTCTGTTTAAACTGTGTGTTCCAGCAAGTCCCCACTTTTACTGTAATTCTGTGAGAAAATTGCAAAATTCATGATTTTATTTGTCTAGTTGTCCATGTCAGGGGTAGAAAGTAAAATAAAAGAACTGGTCTGCACAGTTTGATATGTGACGTGATTTTAATGTCTGCTTGTAGGATGTTAACTCTTCCTCATTCCCAACAATGAGGAAACCCCAGAATGCTGTGTGAGACATGGAGGAGATGTTTAATCCCTCAGATTTACACAACGACATCAATGCAAGGGAGACGTGTTAAAGAAATTAATAAGGAATTCACAACATTTTCTGAATTAATGAGATTGGATAAGTCCTTACTTTTTTTTTTATGGGTTAGCAGACATGTGGAACATCAGAGTAGTCACTGTTGTGTCTTACTTGACATTGTTGAGCTCTGTTTTCTGATAGAAATAAATAGGAATCATCTCATCAACAAAGCATGACATTTAATAACCTTTGGAGTGTTTAAAACTAGTGCAGCCAGCAGGTCAGTGTGGCTGCAGGTCACTCTGTGTTCGTTCTCCTCTGCAGTTCGTCGTTGGAAGGAGGTGTCTTGTGTGAAGAGTCCTGAGCTGCAGGTGGTTCTACTGGAAGCGAAGGAGAAGGAAGGAGCACCGGTCCAGACTGTCTTTCCTCTGCCTGTCCACCGATCTCTGAGCCACAGAAGGTCAGACGACGCTTTGAGAAGCTCTCAAACTTTCACAAGCTGCTTCCCTAAACTTCCCAGACTTACAGTTTCCTTCCCCTCTCTGCAGCGTTCGTCAGGCGCTGGACAGAGGCTTCCCGGTGCTGCTGTGTGCTGTGGCAGCTGACTCCACTCTGGTCTACCAGAGGATGACCGACGGGTTGGTGACACCGGACCCTCCTGCGGGCCCGTTTCAGGATGTGGGACGTCGGCAGCACCGGAAGAGACGGCAGCAGCGCTGAGCAGCTGGTGGAGGAAGATGATGAACCAAAGACAGAGCAGAAAGGGGCGACACCCGGTTGGTCTGTCTGCCATTTAAATTGGTACAAAGATGGACTGTCCCATACGGACATGGGCCGGTACCCCGCCAGGTGGTAGATGTGGCTTCTAGCTCCACCCTTGTTGGTCCCTCTTAATAAGAAACCACATCCAGTGAACTGCAGTTTCGAGGATTTCAACCTTTTCTTAGCTTGTGACCTCTGGAAACAAACAAAAAAACCCATCCTCATCTGTTGCATGTGTCGAAATAATAGAATTTTGAGCACTTTTTCTTTCATGTTTGCAGTTCTGGTAAATTCTTCTGACACCCTGGAAGGTGCTGCCATGTTTGGAGGTGTGTTGTGGTGTATGCACGCTACACAGTTGACTAGATGCTCTTTTGATGCAATCAGGGATATTTTCAGGAAGCCCCGTAATTTCTGTAGTCTCATGCCTTCCTCAAAACCATCGTGAAACATGGACGTGGCTCCAGGTCTGACAAGGGAAGCCAACATTGAAGTGCCTCAAATCTGCAGTCTGTACAACAGCCAGCAGGGGGCGACTGCTCTGGGTGCAAAAAAGAAGTCAGGTTGTATTGAAGTGTATTAGAAAATGACCCCACTTCTCACTTGATTTGTTACCACAGTAAACATTTTCCTGATGAGTTTATGATCCCAATCACTAGTTTCAACGCTCCTTTAATCCACTATTTTGTAAATTAGGGTTCCATTTACAGCTAAACACACAATAAAGCAGGGTGTGTGTTATGCCGCAGCTACCTTGTGATTGAGAGGTATCGTATGTGTAGTGTCCTTGAGTTGTCAGATCCACTGCTTCCTCGTCACGTCCACTTTCAAAAGACCAAACTGCCAAATTTGAGGCACTCATTCCAAACTGCAGACTTCTTTCTCCACGTTTCAGTGTGTGCTGCAGCTGCCCATCCAGAGTAGGTCCTGTTTCATGCAGATTTCATACCATTGGGACTTCCTACTCGGTCATAAGATTGTGTCTTCCTCATATGACGGTATCTAATCTGTCTGTGCACTCTTAGACTTGTTTATACAAGGGCCAGACACCATGATGGATGTGCAGAGGATTGTGTGTCAGAATGGTTTTCCTACCAAGCCAGCATGCAAAATCCAACCAGATGTTGTCGAGCATCATGGTGCTGTCACCATACTGTGTTTGTTATCCTGTGTACTGGGACATGCTAAATCCTCTGCATGGCGTTCTACATAGTTTGGTAGTATAGATACTGGAACGCATCCAAGGCTTTAAAATGGAAGTTCACAAACCATGGCTGCTCAAAACCTTTAAATGGAACCAGATTAGTTTGCATCCTCAGAGCTTTAGACCTGCTGTTCTCAACTTTGACTAATTTCTGAGGCTGATATAGAACTAAAGGATAAAACTATATACAGTATCATGTTTTTTTTGTTTTGTTTTTTTTAAAATGTATAACATGAACAGATTTTTTTAAAAATCCCTTTAATATATTTATTTCATTAATAATGTCGTTTTTGTGTGTTATTTTATAAAACAGGAGCATCTTATTTGGAAAGGGCCCCTGTCAGACATGACAAAGGTAGCTGGTAGCCTGAGAGTAAACAGCAAATGTTAAATAACAATCTGATTTGCTTCGAGTTAGCTTCTGTCGAAGGGCACGACAAGGTAGGTTTCATGACTTCTTGTGTTTGTAAGACATGTTGACTTTATTTTTGTGTAAAAAAATTTTTAACAGTCGGCTAACTTTGTGTTGCTATTTGCGTGCTAACCAACTTCGTGTATTAGCATGCTAACCGACTTCGTGTATTAGCATGCTAACGGACTTTGTGTATTAGCATGCTAACCGACTTCGTGTATTAGCAAGCAAACAACTTTGTTTATTAGCATGCTAACCGACTTTTTTCTTAGCATGCTAACCGACTTTGTTTATTCGCATGCTAACCGACTTTGTGTATTAGCATGCTAATCTATGTGACGAAACGGTCACCTGAGGTAATTAGTCTTTTCCTATTTGTTAGCTTTCGTATTCAGCTCTTTTAAAAACCTGTGGACTCTTATTTAAACTTTTTTTTTTTTAGCCTTTATTAATTTTGTCGTCTATATGCAGAAACTGCAGCACAAAGTCCAAACAGTGCCGCCATTACTCGGTTGTTCCACCAGAGAGCACCAATAAGTTTATTATTTCAACAGCAAACTCTCCTGTTTTCAGTTAAGTAAATTTTACTAAACGGGTCTGACTGCAGAAACGATTTATTACAAGCTGTTTTTAGTCCAAACACCACCCGGTTAATAGGAACTACTTTTCCTCCTCCGCCAATGTACACTGGCTCTATGAATACAAGGAGAAATGACGTCAGCTTGGCAAGAGCCCTTCAAACCTTTTTTTTTATCCAAACTCGTGTAAATGAATATGCCAGTGATATGAATAAAGACAGAAGTGGTTCAACAAATGGCACATCAGACTGCCATAGAAAGATCAGGGCTGCCGTGTTTGTCTGGTGAGATTTGTGTCCTCGGATCACTTCAATTCAATGAAATATTTCAGTTATTTCTAAAGCTCAGCGTGCTGGGGTTTTATTTTATTGCCAGTCCTCTGCACACTGTAGTAACACTTGCACATGCTAGAGAAGGTGACTTACATCTGAGTCATTTTAAAGCAGGAATGGAATATTTTAATGAAAAAAACTAATAAAAATGTAACTGAGATGCACAGATATGTACTTTTAGGGGCTTAGTTAATAATTGGGAAGAGATTTGTTCTGTGCAGACAAACATGCATTATGAAATGTTGGCCAGCATTCACTGACCCAGTCTGATTCGCTTTGACTGACAGCTAGCAGATTATTGAGTCACTGTGTTTTTATTTTACATTAATTTATTTCATTATGTAATTAACTTAAATTTTTATTCCCAGAGCTAAATCAAATGAAGCTTACAGTGCAGTGCAGCCAGATCAGCCAGACTTTTTTATGTCCCTTTTGTGAACACATTAAGCGTTCGTACTGTCGTGGTGTCTGCGTGAATGTTGGCGACACCTGGGTGGGTTTTACCTGGTTTCAGATCAGAAGGGAAACGAGTAGCGTCGGATATCGCTTCTGCAGATCTCTAACACTCACGACGAAGGCCCCATTTTCAGAACAACACCAATATACAACAAAACGCACAAGATGTCAAGGGGATTGATGTTGCTCTTTCATGGGATTTTGTCATTAACTGGTTTTTAGCATCATGTT